TGTTGTTCTGGTTCGAACCCATGTCAAATCCTTCTAAGGTATTAAACTATTTTCCCCGGCATTGCAATAACACCAAGATGTGAAGGGTCATCCAGGTAACAAGCCCCCAGGGGAAATGCTGTAAATCAAGAATGTCTAAGTGCTTAACGTGCCTTTTGTGCTGGTCCGTGTACAAGTACTAAAATACTCGAGCTAGAGAAGTGCTGGTCGAATCATAAACGAGGGTATGGAAGTGCTGGTCGAATCATAAATGAGGGTATGGAAAATCCAATAGATGCACCCGATAAATCCATAATCTCGATGTAACACTGAGATGGCTAATGGTCCATCTTAAGCGTTGTCATGAGCTACGCCGTAGCATCCCCATCCTTTAACGATCCATTCAGGCAGATTTCTCGTAACTTAGTCCCACAACCACATCACAAGCACCTAGAGACGTATTTTGTAGTCCGAAATATCCAGCCAAAAAATCAGGATCCCTCTGTATGTTAAGATAATATGAAAAAGGATGTAGGAATTTCCAATGTCATATTGAACCCAATAATTGCCTCGACAAGTTGAGTTGATGTGGTTCTCAACCATAAGTGGCGTAGCATGAAACATCATGCATCCTGTTGAGATATCAACAGCAACGAGAACTTCCCTGAAGTAAAAGGTCTACTAGATTCGTACTAGCCTTCTGTCGGACAGAGGAGTCTTTTTCGATCGTTCACCAACTTGAGGTGGGTCTCAACCATAAGTCGCGTATCATGAAACAACAAGCATTCTGTTGAGATGGCAACGGCAACGAGAACTTACCTGAAGTAAAAGGTCTACTAGATCAGTACTACCCTCCTGTTGGACAGAGGAGTCTTTCTCGATCGCTCACCAACTTACAACAGTTACATTCTCAGATCATAAAGAACGATCTACAGGCAACTACCAAGGGTCAACCTGAAAATACCCCAACCTAAATACCCTACTGCGCGAAGAGTAAGAGATACTCTATGGGTTCAGGAATCCAGCATAAGTTGCTCTGTCTGAAATTACCGTAATTTGGGTCCCTGCGCATAGGAACTACTATGAAAATGAACAGACAGATGAACTAGCAAGAACGGGATCTGCTCTGGATATCTTCAACGCCGTTTCATTAGCAACTCCTTTAGGTTTTATCCAATATGTTCCCTCAGGCTTTTTCTTTAAAAGGCTGAAAATATATGGAACACTTTAGACACATGTAGATGTGCTAATTTAATGAGGCCTTCTTTCAATGAGAAATGTATTAGGACACCTTTAACCCGCAATATATATCTCCCGATATAGGAGGGATATATGCATGTTACATACTACTGTTGGCAGTAATCACTGAATGCTAGACAGACTTAAAAGGCGGCTTTGTATCTCCTTCAGCTTTGTATCTTCCATCTTTTCTGCGAATGCACTGGTTGTAAACTGAACGACCTCCTGAGATTTCTAACAGCTACATGCTCGATCTGAGGAATCCTGTCAAAATGGAGTATTTTCGAAAATTTTTGCCAAAAAAGAATGCGATGACAATTTTGCTGGGTTATAACTAAAGTTTAATAGTTGTTTTATACAATTTGTATTGTTGTTGTTTTTTTAAGTTAAGCTGCAACTAAAATTTTCTTATTTATTTACAATTTACAATATGACATGGACATGGCAGAGATAGTAAATAAGAAAAATAAAGAAATATATTTACAATACCAACGACATTTGATAGTTGTAAAACTGTATAAAAGATAAACTTTCATATTTTTGCATTATAGAGTTTTTTTCCAAATTATTTTTTGTATATACCCTACAGTAAGTAGCGAAAGAAGGTTAATATTTTAAAGAGTTTAGAGTGCAGATGTAAAAATTAAAGTAGCGTGTTGAAAATAATCGTTAATGATCAATTTTATTTAGCACTTCCTGTTTTTCCTCTATTTTCCATTAATTTTATTTGTATTTTTCTTTATATATTTGCTTATTTTCTAATAAAGCATATCTTTGAGTAACAATAAATTAAAGTATAGTTTAAGGGATTTCCTTTGTTACGTATAAAAATTTATTGATTGCACTTTTATAATAAAATATGTGTTTATCTGTAAGCAATTATTTATTAGCTTTTTTTGTTGAGGGAAAAATTATAAATAATTAATTTATTATTAATTGTTGTGTTTAATTAAGTTATATCTGACCTATGATAAAATATGGTATAGTCATAAATATGTATGTAGTAATTCAATTAACTGTGACTAACTTATTACTTACCACTTAACATTTCTTCGTATTGACCGACAAATTATCTTGATTATATTTTAATGATTAATTGCGGGGAAAATAGGTGTTTAATAGGGATGGAATATTTAGTACTATTGTCATCGAAAAATTCCTCAGTAACACCGCAAATGACTATGTACATCTTCTATTGCAAAAGTTTTTCTAAGTAGTTCATGAATTAGTACATATTCTGGTATATAGATTAGTTGAGAGTTGATTTGGGAATAGAGTTGTCAACCGATTAGTCCATAGACTAGACTTGCCTTATAAATGGGCTAGACCTGAGGCACCGCTAAGGAAGTGCACAACAGGATCGGTGCTAACTAACTAAGTAAGTAAGTAACTAAATAACTAACTAACTACTAACTAACTAACTAACTAACTAACTAACTAACTAACTAACTAACTAACTAACTAACTAACTAACTAACTAACTAACTAACTAACTAACTAACTAACTAACTAACTAACTAACTAACTAACTAACTAACTAACTAACTAACTAACTAACTAACTAACTAACTAACTAACTAACTAACTAACTAACTAACTAACTAACTAACTAACTAACTAACTAACTAACTAACTAACTAACTACTAACTAACTAACTAACTAACTAACTAACTAACTAACTAACTAACTAACTAACTAACTAACTAACTAACTAACTAACTAACTAACTAACTAACTAACTAACTAACTAACTAACTAACTAACTAACTACTAACTAACTAACTAACTAACTAACTAACTAACTAACTACTAACTAACTACTAACTAACTAACTAACTAACTAACTAACTAACTAACTAACTAACTAACTAACTAACTAACTAACTAACTAACTAACTAACTAACTAACTAACTAACTAACTAACTAACTAACTAACTAACTAACTAACTAACTAACTAACTAACTAACTAACTAACTAACTAACTAACTAACTAACTAACTAACTAACTAACTAACTAACTAACTAACTAACTAACTAACTAACTAACTAACTAACTAACTAACTAACTAACTAACTACTAACTAACTAACTAACTAACTAACTACTAACTAACTAACTAACTAACTAACTAACTAACTAACTAACTAACTAACTAACTAACTAACTAACTAACTAACTAACTAACTAACTAACTAACTAACTAACTAACTAACTAACTAACTAACTAACTAACTAACTAACTAACTAACTAACTAACTAACTAACTAACTAACTAACTAACTAACTAACTAACTAACTAACTAACTAACTAACTAACTAACTAACTAACTAACTAACTAACTAACTACTAACTAACTAACTAACTACTAACTAACTAACTAACTAACTAACTAACTAACTAACTAACTAACTAACTAACTAACTAACTAACTAACTAACTAACTAACTAACTACTAACTAACTAACTAACTAACTAACTAACTAACTAACTAACTAACTAACTAACTAACTAACTAACTAACTAACTAACTAACTAACTAACTAACTAACTAACTACTAACTAACTAATAACTAACTAACTAACTAACTAACTAACTAACTAACTAACTAACTAACTAACTAACTAACTAACTAACTAACTAACTAACTAAACTAACTAACTAACTAACTAACTACTAACTACTAACTAACTAACTAACTAACTAACTAACTAACTAACTAACTAACTAACTAACTAACTACTAACTAACTAACTAACTAACTAACTAACTAACTAACTAACTAACTAACTAACTAACTAACTAACTAACTAACTAACTAACTAACTACTACTAACTAACTAACTAACTGACTAACTAACTAACTAACTAACTAACTAACAACTAACTAACAACTAACTAACTAACTAACTGAGGATGCTCTTCATCCTGTTGTCGTTGAGGTCACTTCAGAGGATTTTAGTACTCCTACCTACCATTCCACTGTCCATCAGGTTAAGTTAACCTCCTTATACCACCTTATAACAAGTACATTCGCTTTTATTTCCGAGTGACTTAATACTCATATGATCCGGAGCTTAACGCTAAGAATTCAATTATAGATGTCTGGAAGCTAGTGATTAGGAGGACGGATATATATTTCGATGTAGATCACCAGACTTCTTTTCCCAATTTAAAACTATCCGTGTATTAATATATTCCCATAAGGGTTTGCCCTAATGTTCCACGATCTCTTATCTTTAATCATGGTCCCGCTTACGCCCAAGAAACATGTAAGCTGATGTCTTTGTCCACCATATTAAAACTGACTTTTTGTCTTATAGTTTAACTAAGAACTAACTTCATGCCTATGGTTCTCCTACATCGATATTTAGATAGTCGTTTCCGATCATGGAATGCGCCTAGGAATTTAAACCTGTCGGTCACAGATATTTTCCTACCAGCTTTTTATGGTGTTAAGCAGAAAGGATTTATGCGTCGATAAAACGTTGGTGTCGCGTAACTTTTTTGAATTTGGGAAACCGAGTTACACGAGCAAAAAACCATTAAGAATAACACTTTCTGAGACTTCTGCGAAATTTGAACTGAATATTCAAAGTACCAAGAAAAGCCCGAATAACAAGCAAACTTTCAAAATATTTTCTAGACTAAACTTTTTTTTTAAATCAATAGAACTTACTAAAAGTTTCAATTTCTTTGTAAATTTTATAATAAATTCACACTAAAATTTTTTACTTCTTTTTATTATTTTTCCAGATATACACTATTTACATAAAACATTTACGACATCTGTGAATTTATCGATGAGGAGACCAAAGATGGTGGAAATATTGTATAAATTCTTTGATTATATTCATAAAAGTCACGAACATCTTCGTCATCTATTTCATCACTGCAATCAACACCCTCATCCTTATCATTATTGGTAGCTTGACCACCTACCGACTCCTCCTTAGAATGATTTTCATTTTCATACGGTACGGAATGTGTATGGACTTTGTATTTGTGTTCAGTCTTCAAATGAGGTTGATAGCAACTCAAAGAGGCACGTAGAAAACCACTGCAACCGCAAAGATATTCACAACAATGTATTTTCGCATGCCAGGGTTCTTTTACATTTTCCATGTGTATATTGGAATGACATTCATCGGGGTTGGGAGGAAAGCTAGCTGAAGAAGTTGTTTCCTTGTGGGCACCATATTTGACACGATAACAACAGCAGCAGAGTTGCGAATAGCAACAGCAGAGCAGTGAAGAAACTTTGGCTTTAAAAATTAAGGTATATTGTATAGTTTCGGTGAGGAATGTATAAAATAAAGGATTTAAAACGGAACTGGCTAAATTCATTAAACCAAAGACAAAATATAAAATCCAATGTCCAGGTTTTGTATAGCTGCCATACATGCGCATCAGTAGAAAGATCCAGGCGGGCAAACGTAGGAAAACGAAGACAGCCATCATTAGGAGTATAATGGTAAACATTCTCAAATGTCTAGCTTCTCGAGAATTATTAGCGGTAACATTAGAAGTGTTGTTAGTTGTTGCACTGGCACTAGTTGCTGTTGTCACCTTACCACCCAAAGTATTAGTCAAACTACTAGGCAATGTAGAACTGGAGGTGTGAACCGATTTACAATTACAGTTTTTCGTTGAGAGAAAAGAACATTTGGGTTGTTCTGTTTTAGGTGTTTCGATCGTGCAGGGTGCATCGCTACATTTAGCTTGATTTTTTGTTTTCGCCTTAAGAGTTCTCTTTTTAGTAATGGCAGCAATATGTCGACGTTTCCATAATTTTCGGGCTATTATAGAGTTGAACCAAAAGAATGCTCCAATACAGGGTATGAAGATTATAACGAACACAATGGCATAATAGAGAGCGACGTTATTCTGAAAAGTGAAAATGTAATAGAATTGTTTCAGTTATCAGGTGGTAGATATTTCAATATAATACATTATTCGGCTATAAAAGTTTATTGTATAATAAAATCTAATTTATATACATAACATGATAAATCAGGAGATTAGTGTGACAAACATTTTAACAATCGATCGAAGGTCGTGAAGACTTGACTTGCCTTATCCGCTTCACTTCGAAAGGGTAACTGACATTGAAGACGGACAGATATTCTGGCGGCGAATCCATATGATCCATTGGTCGGGAATATAGAACCATGTAAGACTGGCTTGATAGATTCCTCGTATGATTCCTCGGATGACTAGATCTATATTGTATTGTCGACCAGTAGATATAATAACATTCTAGCCTGAAGATTTGTATGGGTCGAAGGTGTTGATTGCCGATTTAATAACATCCTCGCCAATTTGAGTTCCGGCGGATGTTGATAATAGATGTATGGTCTAGCCAATGAGCTGTTCAATGGGACGTTACCAGGAAAATGAGTGTTCATCAATTCTATTAGTAATTCAGGTGCTCTCGTCATCCGTGCTTTTGAATAAAGCTTTTGACAGGATTTTTCGCAAGCGACTGGTCTCACCACTAGAGAAGCTCTTCGAAGATCTACTCTTACCGTTCCTAACCTGGTTTTTAAACCTATTCAAAGAGTACATGTAGAAAAACTATTTCTGGGGATTACTATGATAATTTCCTTTCCTCTTTGGTATAAAGAGGTTCTCAGGTTTGATTGAAGGAGACAATTCAGGATTCAACTTTGTTCAATCCAATTTGTTTCCCTTCTGCTTAGAAAGGTTGGATTTCTTTTCTTTATTCTCTCTATTGAGAATTAAAGATAACCATGATCTGAAAAAGAACATTCGTGCTAAACTTTTCAGTTAAGAACTAAATGAGTACGGTTTTCGATATATCCAATCGATTTGCAATTACAAAATTAGGTTCTGAATCTCTATTTACGAACTGATTATCTCCTAGTATTGTTGTTGTTGTAGCACTGACACGTGTAAAGTCGGTGTAGCTGGTAATATAGGAAGGAATTGGGGTCTGCAACCAGATATGGTAATTTGGATTTACACATTGGCTCTCAGGCCTATTCTAACTTATGGTTGCATTATCTGGTGGGAGGCCTTGATAAAGAACAGTTGTGGGAAAATTATCAATAAAGCTTAAAGGTGTGATTTTATTGGTATTTCTGGTGCCATTAGATGCATTGCACAAGCGACCTTTCTGTTCATTCTGTACCTGTCACCTATGGAAAATTTTGTAGCAGGCGTGGCGGCTAGGAATCTGCTAAGACTCTACGAGACTTCGTTAGTCAAACCTTCACGCGACGACCATACAAAAATACTCTACGATGTAGGTCTGTCTTAATAACAGATTACGAGATTACCACTCTGGACTTCGGGACTTCTCATAGAATTTCCAACTAGGGATGATTGGCTTGTTTCCGATAGACTGTGTGGTGGGTGTGCAGTTTTCACTGATGGGTCCAAGATGATATCAAGATGAAACGATCCTTCAGTCTACCTGTCGAATGCAGTGTCTTCCAAGCAGAGATCATAGCGACCTGGAAAGCGAAGGAACTGAGTCTGTTGTGACAATTTATGTTGATGGTCAAACTGCTCTTAGAGCATAGGCTTGTCACTCGGTACATTCGCGCCTGGTTATAGATTGTAGAAATGCCATTAGGGACATTATGAGACGGTTTACCACTAGGAGTCAGGACATTGCAATCTGCATGTTCTGTTCGAAACTTGATATAAATGGCACAGAAAGGATGGTAAAACCACCCATTTGTCACTATTATAGGCTGATATTCGAGAGAATCTGTGACATAATAAACCAGTCCTAGAAGAACAGATTGGATTGCAAAGTATCAAAGGCCCTATGACCAAAACTTGTTATGGGGACTACCAAAATACTTATAGCACTGTATAAACGCACTCTAAGGATTCTGATGAGAAGAAACATGGTCGATCGAGCATATAATTTGCTTCTGTCCTAAGATCTCAGGCTGGAATGGCTAAGGAATAGGTTCCATGACGAAATGGGGGATATTGCGGTTCTTGACCCTCGCAGTCTACTAGGTTTTATCAAGAGAATTAGTCACTTCTTTGACTGGGCTACCACATCTCTCATCAATAATATTTCTATTTGTGATCGACTGGCCACTCGGCAATACAACACATTTTATAGAAATGCGAAACAGAAGTACTGATATTAGTAGCAGTTTTCCTGGTTACAACACAACGCACCAAGGGTCGGAACCCAAGGGGTCATCACCGGAGTGCTGGTTCAAGGAAATATATAATTAGTCTGGTTTCGTTCACACAGGTCATAAAACAATCGATCTCTTAGTGGTTAGTATTCTAGTCTGGTGACCGAAGGTGTTGGGTTCGATTCCTACCTGAGGCACTGGTAAAAGAGCGTACAATAGACCCCATAGACCCCGTATTTTTCGGATTTGCTATATATACATCCTCCTTTCAAACTAACTTACTAACTCACTATCTTTACATGACTTTGAGGATTATAGAAACTTTTAAAACTGCCTTCGGAACTAATAGTTTCCAGTAAAAGATGTATGAACCTAAAAACATTAAAAAAGTACTAAATAAATACTCACTTGATCCGATACGCACATGTTAACAAGTTTTTGTTCACGCACCAAAGTATAGGATAAATCCTCTAGTGCTGCTTCTATTTCCCAAGGCGATTTAGTTCCTGTTGCTGTTCCTACTGTTGGTAGTAATGATGTTACTGTTGTTGGTGTTGTTTTAGGTGTCTGCGTATTTGTTGTCACGGTAATATTTGGTTTCTTTGGCGTCATAATCACATGACCATTTTCCGTTGGCAACAATGATGAAGTGGTAGTTGTATTTGTAGCTACTGCTTCCGTTGCTGTTGTTGTTGACCAACCTGTCGCATTCATCGTTTCATGTTCTTCCGTCAAAATGTACACCGGTATTAAATCGTAAATAGTGAATACGGGACAAGCAATACCAATGGAAGCCAACCAAATGCATAACATACAGACAATGCAGCTAATTACACTTGGATTCCAAAAACCGATTACGGCCTTCATCACCGCAAAATAACGATCTACGGCAATGCCAACTAAAGTCATGCTGCTGGCTAAAATGGCAGACGTTGTGGCAAAAGGTACAAAACTGCACATCAAATTTCCTAAACGCTGAATGTACAAACAGTAGTAGAGAACAAGTATAATAAAAAAAAGTACAAAATTAGTTATCACACCCACACATACATATGCAGTACACATCCAATCAATTCCATTCAAAGATGTCCTTAATAGGATTCTATGCAAATGTATACATACATATATTTCAATATTTACCCAGATCTGAACGTATTCGGCCGTAAACTGTGACAAATAGGCTGTGGTCAGAAACACTGTATTCATCAAGTCACTGAATGCCAACGATATGAGACATGCCCGAAAGAACGGACGTATTTTACGGCGAAAATTTACAAAGAGCGTACACATATTACCACATAGCGACAGTAAACAGAGTATGGTCAGTGTCACTATAAAGATGTTTCGCTGTGCGGTTGTCAGGGATGTTAACTCTGTATCCAATACACCAGGATAATTAGCTTCTGTATATTCATTACTATTATTATTGTCATCATCCGTTGTGGGTCTGCTGTCGACACTATTGCTGGTGTCGTCATTATTCAATGACGTTCCTCCTAATTGCTGTTGGTGTGCTGTGCCTAAATTCGATTTTCCATGGGTGATTTTTGTGATATGACTAATGTAGGCACCAGCGAATGCCATGAGCTGTGTTTAAAGTGTTAAATTATAAAAAATTTTAATGTTAATTGTTAAGGAAATTTTATATTAAAAAAATTATTAAAAATCAAGATAAAGTTCAATACGTTTTAACTATACGAGGGAAAGTCAATAAGTCCGAAACTTTTTTGGTTTTGGGGCAACTATCTTGTGGAAAGTTTTCTCATACCCAAGCGAACTTTCATATTTGAAACCTTTGTGTTACGTAAGATAACGATCGGACAACTTCATATCGTAAATTGTTTCAATTGCTTCGAGTGTAGAGACTTCAACTATGTGGTTCTTTCCATGATCCTAAAATAACCATTAGATAAGGTTAAATGGGAAATTATGCCAAAATTGGTGGTAATACATTTGATCCATTAAGAAACCCTTAAAATAATCCCTCATGCATTTGGGCGATCTTGTAAAACCAATGGTTATCAATTGAAATAACCGGTATTTCGAACAAATTTGAGTCCTTTCATGGACCTGAACAGGGTCTGAAACACTGGACCATAGCATTTTAGTTGCAAATTGGATACAGTGGACCACGTGAGTTCTGTTTCTTATGTTAATCATTTAGCGTTATCAGCCATATATACTTTAGCGAAGCAGTTTAGAACCGTTCGATCCATTAATTCCGCATTCTTTGGTACATTCAGTTCCTCGAACGCCTTCATGTCTTAGAAGTCATATTAACTGCCATCTGAGTTGACAAGGAGAGCTAATGGCTCCATTAAGCCCTGATAGATGATCGAAATTTTTGTGAAGATTCTTATGTTGTCCATTTGCCGATCAGGCTTCATATCGGCCAGGGGGATATTAATATCAATAACTTTGCGAAACAGTTTCGAATCAATTCCATTTGTTAATTAAGTATTCGTTGAAACTTTCAGTTCTCCGAAAGTCCTCATGCCTTAGAACTCATATGAACTCCCATCTGAGTTAACAAAGAGAGCGAATGTTTCATATCCAGAAACATATATTAACTCGAAATGTCGTCTGATTTGTGAATGCAATTGGAGGTCGGTTTAAATTAGAAGTTCCGAAGTTCTTGTGAAGATTTTATTGGTCAACGTCTCGAGATTGAATTCTCAGATTGTTCTAGCGGCAATATTAGGCGTAAATTTTAGCCGAAAAACGGTCTTTGTCTTTGAATGGTGGACAAAAAGTGTAATAGCAAACTACTACAGGGAGTTCAGCGTAGATGCTGCTTGGGTAAATGTGATGCCATAAGTCAACCAAGGCTCTGGAAACGTTGCGAGATATTCCACCCATTGGAACATATTTAAGATATGAGGCAGTACTTACAGCTCATAACTTTAGGTGAACTGGCCAAAAGCGGTTATACGACACGTCATCAATGTATGCTAGACACATCGGAAGGTTATACACAATCATCGGACGTGCCTGATCGCATACCAGACGCAGAATATGTGGGAAACTTTATCTTTATTATACTGATCCCAGATAGAATGTTTTGGTCAAGCGGAACAATGGCGCAAATCCCCGTAGGAATCCGTTGCTACACGGATGGCTCTAAATTGGGGGACAAAGTGGTACTGGTGTTCTATACTGAAGGCCCGGAAACAGAAATATACCACCGTTTACCTAATCACAAAACCAGCAACCCAATACGTAAATTGTATACGAATAAATATAGCGCCTACAGGGCTTAACATATTTACCGACAGCCAGAAGGCCATTAGGGTAATGATAATGATAATGATAAAGATTTACATTATATGGGTACCAGGCCACTCGTGAGTAGTCGTCAACGAAAGGGCGAATGTATTAGCTTTAAAGAGAAGGGAGCTCGAGGTAGTTAACCTGACGAACGCAAAACCATTCGACGGAACGAAGGTTGAATTAAGGAAAATGGGTCTAATGGAATAATGAAACTGTGGGTAGAACCACAGGGATCCTAATAAGAGCAACAGTAGAAATCTCCTCAAAATAAGCAAGTCTGAGCATAGTATGATGGTACGTATTCTGTAATTTACTTTCATGAAAAGGAGCGCACAACAGGACCAATAGCGGCCCAGGTGTATTTCTTCGGATTTTATGTAAAACCTATCAACATAACCTAAGTATAGCCCAGTCTTTTTGATGGCATTGAAAGTAATTAACAATTTCCTATTAAAGCCTGATGTATTTAGTATACAATTCGCCTGCAACCTCATAATCGGTCTGCTTACTGTTTGAAGGATGATGGCATGATCAATGCAATCTTGTCTTAATGTGCACGATTTCCTAATTCTTACAGCCGATTTAGCAGAAATAATCTTGTAGGTTACGGGAGGGAGAATAGAGGGAGTAGTTTTTCTGGATATTCGATTTTAACCTACTCCCATTGCAAGTAAGAGAAAAGACATTTAGGGGGAAGTTTGTTTCACATGCGGACAGTACGACTCTGTAGTACATTATGCGAACCTCTGGCCAATCGATCACAAATGGATTTAATATTGCTGAAAGACATGTGTTACGTATAAATATGTGAGTTTCGGAAACAAGTTACCTAATTTCAGAAGAACACATTCTATTGTAGTATCGATAGAATATTGGAACACACCACACATTGCGACGGTGCTCCAGAGAATCAATAGAGTTAGATGCCCTACGGTCACCAATAAGTACCTCAGCCCTCTCCTTTACACGGTCGAGTAGCCCCAAAATAGACTTTGAATCACTGACCCATACCTTATTCTTTGTGCAACTTTTAAGGTCTATAGAGGATTGTTAAAAGCCCTCTCAACTAGACATTGTTGCAGTTTTTCCTTTGTAAACACAGTATCTCAACTTTAGAAGTAAATATTATGAAATATTCTCGTAAATATTATTACCAACTTCTAAACAATTCTCTACTTTTTGTATTTACACCACAAATTATTAAAAATTCCGTTTTATTATTAGATTTCTTTTTATTACTTGAATAACACTTTGCCCGTTAATATAAATAATATTCTATTGCCTAACAATATGCTATATTGTTATTTAAATATTACCGCTTAAATGTTGTGCTATTATATCCACCGTCAATTATCAACTAAATTGTGCAATATGTCATTAAGTTCACAAGTTAATTATGGTACGGATGTAGTATGTTAAAAACAATTTAGTTGCTCATTTTGGTTTCTTTTTTTTTTTTGCCATTTATTGTCATTAAATTCATTCACTCACCAGAGGTGGTCTTTATCACATTACGAGTATCTATCAGTTTTTCTATATCTGTAACATTATTTGTTGTGGAACAGTTTGAAAATAATGAAGAAAAGATAATGCGTATATTCCATAATTTTTGTTATATGATAAAAAGTGTTATTGGTTTTAGGTTCCATAGGTTTGGTAGAATATCATGGTCGCTAGACAAAACCATGGTCAACAATATGTTTTTGGAACTATTAGAGAAACAGTTAGGTTAGAATCAGATCCAATATGATAGAGCCTGTATTATGCTTCTTTTCATTGATAAAGTATTATATAGTTTAGGTAGCCAAATAGATCGCCAAAGTAGGCCGATCCAAGGCAGGACAATCAATGTCAAGGCAGGACAATCACAGAAAAGATGAGATATAATCTCTCCTTCATCCTCATTTTGAACGGAAAGCCAATGCATCTAGCATGGCTACCAAATTTACAGTGTCCAGTAACAATCGATACCAGCCTATCTAGTTGTGGTTTTTGGAGATCAAGGAGATATTTAGACCTGCATGGATCTATATGTGGTCACAGCGCTCTAGCTATTGAACACATGAGCAATAGAGTGGCAGTTTTCAGTAACCTGCCTCTTTATTACAAGAAGTGGGGCACCGAAAAACTGATCTATTTTCAGTACGCTAAGTATGGTGCCAGCTTTTGCCAAGATGTCAGCAGTATTATTGCCATAAGAACTCCCGAGTTTTCTGACCCAAACAATTCTAGATTTGGAAAACACACCAATTAGGAAATTTTGATATCCCTGTTAGATATCCGATAGTACTTTAGCCAATTCGACGGCTTCTTTATCTCTGATATTTCAGTTTGAAGGATACTACAGTCATCATTGAGTCGGAAAGAGATTTTCAAACCAAAATTCCTCAATGAATATGCCACCATCAACTCCTTTCGGAGGCAATTATTTGGCGGAAGGAGAGATTTTTGAGACTCCGTAGAGATATAATACTAGAATTGTCTCATTAGGGAGGATTCTGGAATACAATAATCATCAGCATACTGATGACTCGAAATCCTGATATCCCTCTTAGATATCCCATAGTACCTTAGCCAATTCGACGACCTCTTTATCGCAGATATTTCAGCTTGACGGATAGTACAGTCATCATTGAGTCATACCAAATTCCTCAAGGAATATGCGACCATCAACGTCGCCGTCTTGGATCCGTCTGTGTACACACGGAAGCAATTGTTTGGCGGTAGGACAGATGTGGTATCATAGATGTAGTTTCTTAGAATCTTCCCAATCAGTATTCCTGAGGTTTGTAAAATCTGGAATAAAATCTTTACTAAGATATTTGGATCTATTTGGCAATGATTCACAGTTATCCCGTATGCTCTACATTCGTCTGAATCTGTTCATCCCTCAAACACTATTATGGGTACCGACGGACATGAGAATTTTCTTCGAAGAGCTTTGGTCTTCATCAGATCGTATCTCCAGATTGGCATATTTCAAGGCATAACAACCTTCATTTTTATTTCCTTGCCAATTTAAGTACAAATATTATAAGTAACTGAAACTACCAACCAACTAATTGTACATTCCTTTAGTTATTTTCAAATTGTTATCATTATATTTTTGGCGTCAATTTGGATTGAACTATTTATTTCGCCCATCAGTCTTGTGGTAAAACTGTGTTATCGACTTAAGTACATAGTTCTATTTTTTGTTTGAGTTTTATCACAATTATTGTTTAACGTTCTGACAGTTTTTGTTGGTTTTTATCTCAAGTATCTTTGTTTTTCCCATTTTGTTAAATGCCTATCAATTCCTATATGTACTGTAATATGTTTCACGTTGATTTTTTTTATTGCTAACTTTTATTTGCATATGTTAAGGCTTGTTTGTAATTGAATACCTTTAATACGCCTAATTGTTTTCGATTTGTTACCAAAATTTTACTTTTTATATAACAAAATAACAATTTATACGAATAATTAAGTTATAATTGAATACAAATTATTCTGCTACATACATACATATGTATGTATGCATTTGTATTAAATATGATATCAGGTTTAAGATAATAATTATTATGTTATTTGTTTATGTGTAATTTTCATATAAAAAACATATTTTTTTTGTTGCATTACATATGCAATGTATTGACATGTAATTAATATTTTAACTTTTATTATAAAACGATATCTTGTTCGCTTTAAATCTACTATCACAGTTAAAATATATAAACTATTTTGTATTAAATACTTTTATTAAAGAGGGTTGCCATGTTTTCCTAGTAGAATAGAAAACAAGTAAGAAATTATAGTCGGTCGAGGCCGACCATATAATACCCTACACCTTTGACAAAAATATAATGTGATTTAGTTGCCATAATAAAGCATTTAAATTGAATTGTACCTTGCCTCAGATATACATACTTAAGCCGTTTATTGTTGAATAAAATTGTGGACATTTAAGTGAAATTTTGATGGGGGCTTTTCATAGGAGCTAGGGTCATATGAGGACCTATTATTATGGAATTCGTGAGGGTCATAAAATCTTGTATAGAACTTGGTTTTTGCAGCTTTTTGTCGAGATATGAGTATATTAAACATAATTATGAACTTACAAGCCCTATTCGGCGGGTTCAGTTGTATGGGGGCTAGGTGAAATAATGAACCGATGTAAACCATTTTCAACAGGCTTCATTTACGGTACCATAAAAGATCCTGTGCCAAATTTCATTGAATTATCTCCAAAATTGCGACCTGTAGTTTGATTACAAAGTTTAAAAGCCCTATTCGGGGGGTTCAGTCGTATGGGGGCTAGGTGAAATAATAGACCGATGTTAACCATTTTCAATAGACTTTGTCTACAGTACCATAAAAAATCATGTGCCAAATTTCATTGAATTATCTCCAAAATTGCGACTTGTAGTTTGATTACAAGGTTTACAAGCCCTATTGGGAGGTTCAGTTGTATGGGGGCTAGGTGAAATAATGCGATCTTAACCATTTTCAATAGGCTTCGTCCCTGGGACAAAATTCATACCAAATTTCATTGAATTATCTTCAAAATTGCGACCTGTAGTTTGATTACAAGGTTTACATGGACGGACGGACAGACGGAATGATTCTGAGCCGATTGGTATGCTTTAAGGTCGGTATAGGACCAATATTATTGTGCGTTACAAACATCAGCACAAACCCAATATACCCTCCCCACTGAAGTGGTGTAGGGTATAAAAAGTAAAAAATTATACTCCGACCATATAAAGTATATATATTCTGGATCCTTATAGAAAGCGGAATCCATTATGCCATGTATGTCTATTGAAATCAATTTTCTGAAGATATCTTTGGGTTCCAAATTTGCAATAATTCTATCACACATGCTTTCAAGAAGTTCCCTATTTAAAATCAGTGAAATACGTCCACAAATAATAGAGATATGATATTTTATCAAAAAAAAAAAAAAAAAAAAAAAAAAAAAAGAAGTAGGAAAGTACAGTCGGGCATGGCCGACCATATGATACCCTACACCACTGAGTATGTTAAAAATGTGGATTATTTTTAATAACAAAGCATTTAAGTTGTTTACCTAAATTCCGTAATATTTTAACAATTTGTTGAAAAAATTGATTTTCTGAAAGTGGAGGCAAGTGTAAATATGGGCCTATCCTTATAAATGTTGGTACATGGCTTTACGTTTACATTAGAGTTACGTGAATATATTATTGACCTTCAAGTCATTTTCTGAAGGGGACTTTGTATAGGGTCAAATACAGTCCGATAATTACGAAAATCGGTAGTATTATTAAGACGTATGTAGAGCTAAGTTTTGCCGATTTTTCTAGAGATACTACAATATTTAACATAATAAATCGAAAGCCCTTGTTGTAGGGGGCTAGGTGACATAATGGACCGATTTCAACCATTTTCAATAGGCTTCGTCGTATGGTTTAAATTTCATCAAAATATCTTGAAAATCATCAGCACAAACGTATAATACCCTCCCCACTATGGTGGGGTTAGTTAGTTAGTTAGTTAGTTAGTTAGTTAGTTAGTTAGTTAGTTAGTTAGTTAGTTAGTTAGTTAGTTAGTTAGTTAGTTAGTTAGTTAGTTAAGTTAGTTAGTTAGTTAGTTAGTTAGTTAGTTAGTTAGTTAGTTAGTTAGTTAGTTAGTTAGTTAGTTAGTTAGTAGTTAGTTAGTTAGTTAGTTAGTTAGTTAGTTAGTTAGTTAGTTAGTTAGTTAGTTAGTTTAGTTAGTTAGTTAGTTAGTAGTTAGTTAGTTAGTTAGTTAGTTAGTTAGTTAGTTAGTTAGTTAGTTAGTTAGTAGTTAGTTAGTTAGTTAGTTAGTTAGTTAGTTAGTTAGTTAGTTAGTTAGTTAGTTAGTTAGTTAGTTAGTTAGTTAGTTAGTTAGTTAGTTAGTTAGTTAGTTAGTAGTTAGTTAGTTAGTTAGTTAGTTAGTTAGTTAGTTAGTTAGTTAGTTAGTTAGTTAGTTAGTAGTTAGTTAGTTAGTTAGTTAGTTAGTTAGTAGTTAGTTAGTTAGTTAGTTAGTTAGTTAGTTAGTTAGTTAGTTAGTTAGTTAGTTAGTTAGTTAGTTAGTTAGTTAGTTAGTTAGTAGTTAGTTAGTTAGTTAGTTAGTTAGTTAGTTAGTTAGTTAGTTAGTTAGTTAGTTAGTTAGTTAGTAGTTAGTTAGTTAGTTAGTTAGTTAGTTAGTTAGTAGTTAGTTAGTTAGTAGTTAGTTAGTTAGTTAGTTAGTAGTAGTTAGTTAGTTAGTTAGTTAGTTAGTTAGTTAGTTAGTAGTTAGTTAGTTAGTTAGTTAGTTAGTTAGTAGTTAGTTAGTTAGTTAGTTAGTTAGTTAGTTAGTTAG